CTGGGACAGGGACACCCGGGGGGACACATGGGGGGACAGGGACAGGCAGTCAGGTGCAGGATGGGATGACGGGACAGCCAGGCTGCTGCTGGATGGGGATGGACTGGGACAGGGACACCCAGGCTGGGGACAGGGTGGCTGGGGACGCCCAGGCTGGTGCAGGTGGGTGGGCACAGACTCCAGGGACACACAAGCCGGTGCAGGATGGGGACAAGGACACCCAGGCTGGGGACAGGGTGGGGATGCAGAGTCCCCAGGGACACCCAGGCTGGTGCAGGTGGATGGGGACAAGGGGGACAGGGACACACAGTCGGGTGCAGGATGGGGTGACTGGGGACACCCAGGATGGTGCTGGATGGGGATGGGGTGGCTGGGAACAGCCAGGCTGGTGCAGGGGATGGGCACAGTCACCGGGGATGCCCAGGCTGGCACAGGACAGGGATAGGGTGGATGGGGATGCCCAGGATAGGGATGGGGTGTGCTGTGACACACAGACTGCTGCAGGATGGGGACGGGGGAGGACAGGGACAGCCAGGATGGTGCAGGTGGCTGGGGACAGTCTCCAGGGACACCCAGACGGGTGCAGGACGGGGTGATTTGGGATGCCCAGGGTGGTGCAGGTGACAGGGTCGGTCCCAGGGACACCCAGGCTGGCTCAGGGCACAGAGTGGGGGGTGGCCGTGCCCCCACAGCCACGTCCCCGTGCCCGGCAGGGGAGCCCGAGTTCCGCTACGTGGCCGGGATGCACGGGAACGAGGTGCTGGGCCGGGAGCTGCTGCTCAACCTCATGGAATACCTGTGCCGGGAATTCCGGAGGGGCAACCCCCGCGTGGTGCAGCTGGTCACGGACACCCGGATCCACCTGCTGCCCTCCATGAACCCCGACGGATACGAGACCGCCTACGAGCTGGTAGGGACGGGGGACGGGACCCCCCGGGGCCGCCCCAGTGCCCATCCCAGTGCCCATCCCAGTGCCCCCGGTGCCCCCACAGGGCTCGGAGCTGGCGGGCTGGGCCATGGGCCGCTGGACCTACGAGGGCATCGACCTCAACCACAACTTCGCCGACCTGAACACGGCGCTGTGGGACGCCGAGGACAACGACCTGGTGCCCCACGAGTTCCCCAACCACTACATCCCCATCCCCGAGTACTACACCCTGGCCAACGCCACGGTGAGCCCCCGAGACCCCCCAGTCTGTGCCAATGCCATGGTGAGCCCCCTGAAAGCCCCCAGTCTGTGCCAATGCCA